CCCCCCCCCCCCCCCCCCCCCCCCCCGGCGAGCGCGCTCGCGTGCGCGAGTTCCTCTCCCGCTCCATGACAAAAGAACCAATTCCTTAAGGGAAACCTTGAAACAAACCGTCCTCACCGAGCATGTGCATGTAGAGCAGCTTGGCCACATTTCTCGCCCGGTTGGGATCGTTCCCTTCCTTGAAGGCGGTCCGGATCAGCGCGCCCTCGGTGGCGATGACCGCCCGTTCCTCTGCGGCAGTCTTGCACGACCGCACCTTTCGGATCAGCTGCCGGAGCCTGATAGACATCCTTCCCCCCCCGCCTTCACAAAGCTATTAATGCAAACGCACGCACGCGACGCGTGCAGATGGCTGTGGGTCGGGCAAAACCTCCCGCGCAGTTGTTGTTGTTGTTCTCCGGACTTCGCTCCCTCGTCCGGGCGACTCCCGCTGCTATGATCCTCCCCGGAATCGCACTCCGTCAGGATTTGAGCGTCCAACAGCAAGCTTTGAAGGCCGCTTTCTGAGTTAGACGAGGTCGTGCGAGCGGGTGCGGCGGATGCATGCGGCCAGCGGCACGATAGAGTCGAGGTTGGAGAGCAGCCTTCGACATCTGACTACTGTTGTATGCACCATGCAAATAATCGTCTTGAAAGTAAGTGACGACTTCACGCGGAATATGCGAGGTCAGCCTCAAATCGTTTCCAGCTAATGCATGGTAATGTTGTGTTGGACGGCGGCGGCGGCGGCAGCGGCCGGGAGGTGCCAGGTGCCTGGTGCCTGGTGCCTGGTGAAGGACAGACATAAAACATCGTGTGGGAAGTTACAACGCGTTTTTGAGCAATCTGCCGTGAACACGCAAGGGGCTTCACGCTGGGCCCCAACTGCTAACGCCACCTGCACATGTCGTTTGTGCTGTTGGTGTCTGCATAAGCGTATTATTACGAGAGGGTGGTTCAAAGCACGGATTGAATGCTGTATTCTATATGTTTGCTTGATCGATTTTGCTGAGTAGACTCTTTCATGTGGTGGCGGCAGGGCACACCTCTGTACCTGTTCTACCTTCCGTTTGCTATCGCACTTGCAAAGAGAAAACAATAGGGGAAGAGGGTGAACGCAGGGCACCCACTGCAAGACCCGTTTTCTTTTGCGTAGCCGATGCGTTCAATTGCGGGAGGCGATACACACTCAAGAGCCCCCCAGCAGCAGGCGCAAGACTCCCGCCAGAGGAACAACAGCAGTCGTAAGGGAAGCAGCAGCAGTTCGAGTTTAATTCTGCCACAAAAAAAAAAAACGACACCGCACCGGCATCATCGATGTCTCCGAGATTAAGCACGCCCAGAACAATAGAATGCGTCGGAGCGGGATAGAACTTGCTTGCTTCCAGCAGTAGCCCAGCGGGCACTCCGGATGTTGTGCACGGCTGCCGTTCAGAATCTGCCACAGCATGAGTTCCAATCGAACATACACCCTGGGGGCGGGAGCTCTTCTGTTCGCTCAGTCAAGGATGGACACGCGCACCAAGCAGACAGAACTTTCCTCTTGCCTACCCCACACCCTACTTATGCGGGGTAGAACGAAGGCAGCCGCACCAGGAAAAAGTTGTATGGATGTTGAAAAGCAACAACTGCTGGTCGCACACCTCGTGCCATGGCACCGCACACAACATCCCGAGCAGAAGCAAAGCAACGCTAGCGATAACAAGGGCACACGCGCTTCGTCAGGAGACGCACCTTTTCCACACACACTCGTACGGTCGACAGAGAGAGAGAGAGAGAAGAACACCAAGCTCAAAGGTAAACACACTCACGTGATGAGATCTTGGGGCGATGACAGCCTTCCCTGTCTCTTGCTGCCCCCTGTGCTATTTGGTGTTCTTGTCCGTGTGCAATTGCGGGGCGACAGCGGACAGCGGAGCGACAGCGGAGCGACAGCGGGGGTCCAACAGAAAGGAGTCGATGTAAGAATCAGGGCGGGGGACATCGGGATGTCTCACTGCACCAGCCCCCCACACCCCATGGCATGACAGGCATGAGGATGGCAGACAACAATCTCGTGTACCTATGGATGCATATGTAGCCGCAGGTTGTGGATTCGAATTTGTCTGGGGAGTAATGAAGTTTGCAAATCTGTGGTGGAAACCCGATTTACAAGCATTGAGTCTCCGCTATATATAGAATATTTACTCAGATCAAATGACGAAACTCCAACATGTTTGCGTTCGTCGTGTTCAGTAAGCCGAGACGCCGGGTGATATTTTTTCGTCGAACACGTGCCGAAGGTGTAGCCTTGGGCGAGGAACACTCGCACACGATATATTTACATTTTATTTGTGCGCGTCGCGTGTCATCACTAACCACTCGATGTATTTGCATATATTTAGGAAACCCGCGCGGAATATGCACACATTTCACCACTTCGAAGGTTTTAGAGCGTGTGGGTTGGATGCAACCAGGTTCACATGTGTCATGGATTGGACTCGACCGATTGGATCACTTTTCCCAAGCGTCGCGGCGCGTTTTGTTGCAATGAGGATTCAGCGACGCTTGCCTGGACTGAGTCCATGCTGAACAGAGAACAAAGGGGGGGGGGGGGCTGCTGGGGACGACACCCCCTCGTGTGTCGAACATCCATGTAAGTTCAGCGAAAGGATGCCTACTATAACAACTCTGGTATCTGAGAGACACGCCAATTGTGTTCACTTTATGTCGCAGTTTTTCGTCCCGACTGCATGTGGTGTGCGAATCGCTACACCTACTTCCACGAAGACATGACGCACACGGCGGTGCATGTCGCTGTAGACAGCGAGTTGTCTCTCTTGACAAGGCGATAGATGACACAGGGACAATACCACACGAGCATATTCCCAAAATCGAGCTACTGCCGTGCACCAACTCCTCCCGATGCATGTATTTGCTCATGCAGTGAGCGCCCATTGGCATCACAAATACCTGCATTACTGGGGCTGTTAGGAAAATATCCCATTCTCTTTGTACACATGGGCGAGTCTCAACAAACCGACGCAACGTCGATTCATGACACACACAAACAGCCCTGTCGCCTACTCACAGAAAGGGACGAAAACATCCGCGTTTGCTTGCGGCATTGTCGAGATCCCACCAAATCCTTTCAAAATAACATCGACACGACGCAAGGAAAAAATATACCATCTCACCAAACAACTCCGGCACCCTAACGTCAAAACCATCCACGATATACATGGGGCATCAGGGGAGCGGCTATACTTACATGGGGCGAAGACAACAAGGTCAAGAGGGTACGACGCAAGCAAATTTGTCGAGGGCGAGCTTGCCGTACAAGCCCTGGCTTATCTGCTACAAATAACCTAAAGGTAGCTCTTTGGGCCCGCGGCCATTTACACGTGGGTTCATCCCGTTCATCAACGTTCCCGAAAACGACGGCGTGCACCTCCAGCCCGGATAAGGATAACCGGACAACCACATGACACCACTGACTACGCCATGGATGTGTGTCCAATCAGCAGCCTTGCTTTCCTCTCCTCACTTCTTTCCTTACATCTTATTTCTCTCCCATCACACAACCGCTAGTTCTTCGCGCCCCACAGCCTCCCCTATTCCCCCCCCTAGCTCGCGAGACGCTCTAGGCAATCGAACATCACTATTGCCGGAACTTTCTGATGCATCCATCAGATGTCCACTTGTTGCTCTCAACGATTCAACAAATATATCGTTCTTGTTGCGGTTGCTCCCAGGCAGCGGACGCCAACGCTAGAGGAGCAGCAGGGACAACTAGAGGGGGACCCTGTCCCCCGCTCATGCCTCTCATGCCGCCACCGACGTAAGAAGCCCTTGCTGGGCCATGGCGCAGACGACAGCGCCGAGTGCCATGCGGCCGTGCTTCACCTCGACCTCGACCGCAAGCCTGCGAAGCTGCTCGTTTGAGCAGAACAAAATTTGTGCAACGATGAAGGAGGTAGCGGCACGCGTCGGCGGGAGGCAAGGAATTGATAACCTTCTAGTCACCGTTTTCGAAATCATACACCATTGCTCTTGTTCAAACCACCGTTTGTGCTGTAGGCGAGACACTTTTGACATCAAAGGAAAAAAGAAGGCTGTTTGCGCGTAGTCTGGGTGCTGTAAGGTAGGAGCATTGGAATAATAGCGAGTCACGCCAGTTTCGACTCGTTCCATGGGTGTCCACTGCGGGTGAACCTTCGACGATGTCACTATTGTGTGACCCGATCACTGCGGGGTTACAGCTCCGCCACCCAGTAAGTATACACCGCACCACGAGAGGGCCTCACAGACCACGCCCCAACACTACAAAGCACTTGCAAAAGCACTTGCAACAGCGACGGCAGCAAACGAAAGCGGGATACATCCGGCAGACGCACCTCGTTACCAGAACCGAGGCGAAGCACCTTCGCGCCCGTGTTCGACACCGCGTTCAGGGCTCGGTCTGCCAACCCGGCCATGGCGCCCTTGCCGACCCGCCAGTCTCCCTCCGACAGGGCCTTCGCGGCTAGGATGCCACCCGCCACGTAGGGGTCGAGCCAGGGAGTCCGGGCAACGTCCGCCAGCTGCTTGTCGGAAGAAGCAACAGAAGGCAAGGTCGAGGGAAACGCAAGATGCCCAAAGGAGGTTGGATATCGTCGAAAAAACGGGGAAGGTGTATACCTCGTGTTCAACCTGTGGGGGATGACTTCATTGGACGAGACAATGCACATGTTCGGGGAGGCATGGGTAGCAACCAGAGAGGCGAAATTAGACCAAATCGGGAACGGGCGAGCTTGCAACCGTTCGGCGTCAGCACAGCAACATGCGGAGGCTACAGATTTTTCGGCAGTTCAACACACAAGTACAAAGGCGCCCCAAACATAAAAAATTGTCGTCGCAAGCTCGCGAGGCAGCTCTCACGGAAGAGCCAATACGCCAAAGACCGCCAAAATACTGGCCGCGCGGGCAGCGGGATGGCCCCCACGAGAAAACCGAATACACGAACAACGTCGATTTGATGTCTCACCGCTGAGAAGCCGTCATGCGCGTTCAATAACACGCCGGCCCCTGCCCCTGCCCCCGCCCCTACAACACCGCTCAGAAGCACGGCGAGCATGGCAAGACGTGCGTGGTCCAACTCCACCTGATCAAGTTGCAAGAAGGGAAAAGATGGGAGGTTGGTCGTCTGGTACTGACGCGACTCATAAGTAAACCCGAAACAAACCAAACTTTTGCCCTCGTCAAGCGCCCCAAGCCGTGTGTCCGAAGCCATCCCTTTGCCTTCAGACTTGCGGCTTGGACTCCGGCGCCTAGCGTCCCCATCTAAACTCCTTCGTGCTCTCCTAATTAAAACGGCCATGCAACCGATGAATTACACCACCACCTTCGCCCCGCGACCCGGCCCAGCGCGCCACTCCCTCCGACCGCTACAAACCCTCTTTTGACACAACAAACCGGCCTGCCCGCTCACCTGGCGCAAGTCCTGCACCAACTCCCCGGGAACGCCGAGCCTCTCCCTCAGGAACGACCGTTCGGGCACCACGGGAAGCGCGGCGGCCGCCAAGGCCTCGTCCTCGGGGTCGAGGAAGAACACCTGGGTCAACCCCTGCGGCTGGGCGGTAGGAATCATCGACTCCGCTTCGGCGGCAACGTCCGGCGCGGCGAAAACGGCTTCGGTGCTCACCGCCGCGTGCTGCGGTTGTCGTACAGGCAACGCCTCTGCCGTCGCCGCTGCAGCCACCGCCGTAGAAGCAAGGACCCCTTCCTCTTCTTCGAGTTCGAGGTGATACATCTGGGTTAGCCCTTGCACATCCGAGGAGGAGGAGGAGGTCGCGGAGGCATCGTCCGTGGCGGCGGCGGCTGCGCCGCGAGAGAGGAACATGTTCATTGCCATGTGCGAGAGAATCGTTGTGCGAGAACCCGCTTCGGCCTCCGGTGGCGGGGTGGCGGGCGGCGCGGGGGTGTCCGAGCTGTAGTCGTCTTCGGCGCCGCTACTTGCCTCGAACTTGGCCTCCCTGTGCAGGTTTCTAGAGAGCAGCGTCGGGAGAATGCAGCAGTTTCAAGGCGGTTGAAGGCGCCAGACAGACGGATGAACACAAGCAAACAGATGGGCAAAAACAGGCGTAGGGGCATGATCACGTACGGGACGTTTCGGGCCGATAGCAAACCGTTTATGACGATGTGGTGTGCATGCCTCGGGGTCTACATGATTGTCACTACATAATCGCTTTCATAATTGCAACTGGCGATGGACTCCACCTGAACAAACTCATCATTTCAACGAGAGCTGCGTAGATTCGAATCCTCGGGCGACGTCAGCCTCTGCCGCTGCAATCCAAGATGCATGTACGTGCCCACGTCCGATGTATCTTCGAACTAGAGAATTTGGCTCTTGGAAGCGTGGGGGCTGGCCTAAACAACACACTTGCTCGAAGAAGCACGCGGTGCCAAAACACCGAACACATTGCTCGCGCGCCCAACCCATACCTTGCTCGCCAGAACGCTTCGTAGTAACGCTGCTTCATCTCCTGCGCAGAATACGCCTTCGCTCCGCCCCCACCGCCCCCACCACCATCCTGGTCGTTTTGCTGCTGGAACAGACCTGGATCGCTCACGTCGTCCTCTATTGGTGAGAAGCCCGTGTCGCTGCGGCTACTGCTGCTCTGTCGTAGCTCCTAGTGAGTGGGATAAGGGTTGGTGGTTGCGGTAGAGAAGTGAGTACGAGAATAAGCCGTGGAAAATAACGTGCATGTGTGCGGTGTGTGTGGCGCGGATACCTATTGCAAGGGCGTGCAAGCACAACGAGTGCTGCGGACAACAAATTACGAAATTGCCCTCAGGTTTAGGCCACAACATCAATCGCAAGTGAGTGAGGCAAGTCCTGAAGTGGCTTGTGGCAACAACACCCCCGTGCATCTAGAACACATAAATTGTCAAATCACTGCGTGGCAACAGCCGTCTACTGGTTCTTGAAGCCTCAACAGGGCATGATGTCATAGGATGGAGGATGGACTGGGCTACACCCCGTTTCGTGAGGAGCACAAGGAGCAATGTATGGGCAACATCTGTGTACAGGTCAAATACACCCTCGCGTGTAGCTCGGACCTTTCCCCTTGACCCCTCTCGCGCCAACACCAGCTCGCCACTTCGGACTTCAGACACAGCACCCATCATGAAGAGAAGAGGTCAGTACATTATTCGAAAAATGAAGAAATGACGGAATTTTGACTCCCTCTCCCTTGCCCTTCTCTTTTCCCCTCTCTTGCTATATAGATACATCCGCGCCCTTCCTTACCGCCCCTCCGCCGAAACCCTCACCTCTAGCCGGCGACGCATATCTGCGTACAACTCGGACGAGTCAATGTCTCCGGCCCCGCCGCTACCCCCCGTGGCCGAGAGCCTCATGTCTCCCGCCCTAGGCCTCACCAAGGCTCGCCCTCCCCTTGCCGGCGCAAACGGCCGCGTCAACAACGAGGAAACACCTCGATGGTGGGTAGGGACGAAGGCCTGCACGGCGCGACCGGACCTGCCGAGCAAGAGGCCAACGACGAGACAGGCCGGCCCCGCCCCGGAGGGAGGGGTCGTGCTCGGCCGCCGGTTGCGTGGCATGGTCACTCCTGACTCCTCAGCTGCAACTCCTCGGATGGTGCCTGCTGGGCTGGCTGTGTAAGCAAGTTTGGAGCGTGACGAACTGACCCAGTTCCTCTCTCTCTCTCTCTCTCTCTCTCTCTCTCTCTCTCTCTCTCTTTGCCTGCCTTGATCCCTCTCTCTCGCTCTCTCTTGCGGGTGTCAGCGATACTGTTAGTGGCTGTCGAGAGATAGGTGCTGATGCCCTTTTCGGGGCGCGTGCCGATGCGTGTGCTCAACTCTGAGTCAAGGCCGCGGAGGGATGTCTACCAGGGGGGGTCATTAACCTCGTGTCCCCCACCCGACTGCGGTCGGGTTAGATCCAGCGGACTGAAATCAATCGATCGTTCGAGGGCAAGTGGAGGAGCGCCATGGAGAACTACGAGCTCGACTACGACGTGCAAGAGGTACGCCTGGGAAGTCATGTCTTCAAGGTCACCACGGTTGCCAACGAGGCCTTGCCGCTCGAGATGTTGTTGAGTTTACAAACAAGAAGGTAACCCTGACTTCCAGCTGCTTCCCCTGCTGTCGCTGTGTCCTTCTGTCCCCACCCCCTTCCAATGCTGCACACGTCTGCATGAGATGTATTGTTCTTTGGACGTTGCAACATCCTTCAGCTCTGCAGCTGTTTATTCGGAGATCCATCTACAGCAATTGGTCGAGCCTCACGTTCATCAGTAGTTATGCAAGCTTGGCGAATGAAGACCACACGCCCACCCACACTAAGTTGCACTGGACTGTCGCTTCTCCTCTCGCTCTACACCAACATTCAGGATGTCCGTGTCACCGACTACAGCAGTATTAGATGCACCACAGCGGTATATGGCTGGCGTCGACCCTGCAGATCAACCCCCTGTCGTGGTCTACCACACATGTAGGTAGACGGTAGATCAAAGAACCCGCACGCCATGAAAAATGTACGGTAACGCCCGACTACACTTTGCTGTAATCGTGGCGAAATTCTCCCATTTCCTCTCACCCACCGATGAACCACCCAATCAGCGAGGAAATCAGCGGACAGCGGCTGTGGGAAGGTTCTCTGTTGCTGTGCGCTTACCTTGTCGAGGCCTGCCGCAACGAGGACAGCATCAGCAGCGCCGGTGACTGCCGTCGAGGGATGGGAAAACCAAAGCTGGACTTGCAAGGCAAATCCGTGTTAGAGCTTGGAGCAGGGACGGGGATTGTCGGCATGCTCGCCGCTAAACTCGGCGCACAGACGCTGATCCTTACCGACGGCGATGACAAGTGAGAGGGATGGAGGTGTGTGTGTGTGTGTGTTTATATTATTAGCATCGACCGCGCTAACCGGCTGACCAATTAAAAGACGTCAGGCTAAGTGCGGTTGAAAACACAACACACTTCTATCTACCATGAACTGGGACCCCGTGAGGGGGCAGCATGGGGGAGGCTAAACTATCCTTCGGATCAAAAACAGAAGCAGCAGCAACAGACGAAGAATGCACCCGTCTACCAAGGCTATTACCTAGTACTCGAGTTCTTTTAGGAGTACTTTCACCAGTGTCCTCCTTGTTTTCGCTACCATCATTCTGATCCTCATTTCGACAAGAAGAATCTCTGGGCAGTTCTTCCCTAGCCCTACGTTTCTTGTTGTGGGGAAGGTCATCTGGCTCAAACCCTTTGCTCTCTTCCACTCCTCCATGTTTTTCTGCTCCATCGTCGTCATCCTCCTTTCTCCCCTTTCCCTTTCCTTCGTCTTCGTCACTCCCAAAAGAATTACCCTCACCACTATCGTTGTCGCAGAGATCCCAACCGATTGGCCCTGGTGGAAGTTGGTCGATCAGTAGCCCATGACGTTTGAACACATCGCGAGTTCGCATCGACAGAAAACGAGCTACAGCTCGAAGGTACCGTCTCCGAATCCTGTTAGTATGAAAAG